TCAGATTACCCAGCAAGCTGGCACCTCTCATTGAATTTGTATATATGCTTAAGGTATATATGCTTATGTAAGAGGTTCTTTTATCATTCTATTCTGGGAAGAATACATGTCCTTATGTAACTGCATTGTTTTATACCAGGGGTGGTCAACTCCCAAGAGACTGTGATCTACTCACAGAGTTAAAAACTGGCAGTGATCAATCCCCTTTTGGGGGGTTCAAGTCAAAGTTCTTGAGCTTTTCTTAAGGGAGCCAAAGTTGTTGAGCTTCTTTGGGGGGGACCACAGTGATCTACCACAGATGTCCAGTGATCTACTGGTAGATCACAATCTACCTCTTGGACATGCCTGTTTTATACTTTCTGGATATGCCATGATCATATTATAAAGTAGTTGTGTTCTATGTTATTAATCAAGCACTGTACAGTGGTACCTCAGGTTAAGTACTTAATTCGTTCTGGAGGTCCGTACTTAACCTGAAAATGTTCTTAACCTGAAGCACCACTTTAGCTAATGGGGCCTCCTGCTGCTGCCGCGCTGCCGGAGCACAGTTTCTGTTCTCATCCTGAAGCAAAGTTCTTAACCTGAAGCAATATTTCTGGGTTAGCGGAGTCTTTAACCTGAAGCGTATGGTACCCGAGGTACCACTGTATGTGTTTTCTTATCAATAAAAAAAATCAGCGTGGCATGAGCAAATTCTGAAAGTGTGGCCCAAAGGAAAACATTTGAGAACCGCTGCTCCAATAGCAAACTCTGGTGGCAAGTGCCAACAGTCATGCCTTGGGAGCAGCCAGTGCCTCAATGAAAGGAGGGAAGTATCATAATACTTGGGAACACCAAGGTCTGCAAAAGTACACACACCAAATATTAAGAATCCTAAGGGAGAGGAGGGTGAAGGGGCCAAGGCGGCCTGAGGAAAGCCGCATACCATGACAATGTTTTGTTATGGGTCCCACTTTGGAGGGTGAAGCAGAGAGATGCCGAAGGACACATCCTGCCACACCACTGTAAGTGCAAATGAGTCTGAGAATCTGATACTGAGTGCAGAACTGAGCATCCAAAGAATCTCAGCTTTCTTTCCTTCTTTTTTTTCCCCCTTTTAAAGGGCAAGTTCCTAGGACTTGTATCCGAGAAAATAGGCTGGAAAGCACATGGGCCTTATCTAGTGAAATTTCCAGTGCCCAGCGTAATTCATTTCACACACACACACCCTATGATTAACAGAAGCTGAATAACCTATGCAAATGAACAGAATATATGCAAAATTTGCGTGAGCTGCGTAATTAACTGAGGAAGTGGAATTATTTTTTAGTAGTTTTTTTTTTTTTAAGCAGAGAGAGTTACGTGCAGGCCTGGCAAATAAAGCTCTTTGCACATGCTTAGAAGCACTTTTCTCTTGACAAATCGCAGGACTGATCGTCACTAGCAAACCCTAGTTAATTAAGACCTACTTCTAACCCCACCTCAAGACAAGCCTGAACCCCTGTTCTGTTTGGGGGATGCAGATCAGAAGAAACAAACACTTTCTGAACTTGATGAAGAATGCATTCGTGGAAGATATTTAAGATTGGCTTCTGGCCAGTTGGAATGAATTTAAAATGTGGCAGGAACTGTTTTATATTTCTGCATAAGCAAAATAATTGACATGAGATAATTCCACCCCACCCTGCCCCCTCCGAAGTGAGATGCTATACCTTAGGGGGCAAGAGGTATGTTCAGCCAAGAGCACAATCCCTTGTTTCCCTATTTCCGTCTGTAGAATCAGATTGCTTAGAAGTGTAATTTATCAATTTTGCAATTTGTCATGGCCAAAACAAAACAAAAAGACTAAATAAAAATGCAGCACGCAACACACACATACACATGTCCTTCTGCAGTAAATGAACAGGAAACGCAGACAGTTTTTAAAAGGCAAGTGTTCTTACATGCTCCTGGTTTAGCACGTGGTGCTGCAAAAGCTTTTGGTCGAGGACTTTTACAGCAACAGCCACTGGACAGATGAGCTAATTGGGACTGTCAAGAAAATCTGTTGCCACTCTTTGAACTGAGTAGCTGTGCATCAAGGCACTGAAATCTGTGCATCTTCTAAAGCAGCCCCCCTTGACCCATAAAATTGCCAGTTCAAATATTACGCTTTCAATAAGCAATTGGGGGGGTGATTAATCACCCAGTCATCTTCTCAAGCACTTTCATGTTGTGTTTCAAAACTGTGCCATGCCAAACTGGACCATGAATCTGTGGTTACCTTTTATATATATATATATTGAGGTGGGTAGGTAGCTCCTTACCACTGAGATCACTTTTTGCTTTCATGAAGAACAAGGGGCTGCTGTCGATGACAGGTTGCAATACAGCCATATCCCTCCTCCAAGGGGTAAAGAAACATCCCTATTGCTATTAAGATGTACACTCGTGATTGGGAGCCCAGGCGGTTCAATCGATATGTCCTTAAGATCCCTCATAACAGCACATAAAATTGTCAGGCTTCACGGAAGCAGCTCCCTCCCTCCCTTTGGCTGTGGATAAGCAGAACAAAGCAAAAAATAGTCTCTTATCATTTAAAGAGATTTTAATGATCACAGCGAAAGTCCCTTGGCGGTAAAGGTGCTCCCAGTTAAGGTTTACACCCACTTCCCCCTGAGTCATCCTTATCACTTCCATGTCTTGCAACCTGATCTAACAACCACTGTGCCTTCTGTGCAGCTACCTTATCTAATCTCCTTGACCTTGGACTGAGCAGCTGGAAACTTTCCAGCAAACCGGAGTCTGTTAACTCTCTCTCTCCCAGTTCTTCTTCTCCTAACTGTTCACCACCCAGTTCTTCCCAACTTCGGTCTTCTGAACTATGTCCCTCTGCGAACCACTGTTCCAAATCTATACTGTCCCACTGCTCCTGGGAAGATTCAGGATCCTCATCAGGAGCGGGGAAGGGGAAGGCTCCCACCATTCCTCATCTGTGCAGCCCTCCTTAGGTAAAGGTAAAGGGACACCTGACCATTAGGTCCAGTTGTGACCAACTCTGGGGTTGCGGCGCTCATCTCGCTTTATGGGCCAAGGGAGCCAGCGTACAGCTTCCGGGTCATGTGGCCAGCATGACTAAGCCGCTTCTGGTGAACCAGAGCAGCGCACGGAAACACCGTTTACCTTCCCGCCGGAGCGGTACCTATTTATCTACTTGCACTTTGACGTGCTTTTGAACTGCTAGGTTGGCAGGAGCAGGGACTGAGCAACCGGAGCTCACCCCGTCCTGGGGATTCGAACCACCGACCTTCTGATAGGCAAGTCCTAGGCTCTGTGGTTTAACCCACAGCGCCACCCGCGTCCTTAGCATAGTCCCTGACAAAAATGGACAGAGGCCTTGGTATGCAGGTGAACTTTGTAGGCCCCCACTGCAGAGCCAAAGGGCAGCACCTTCTGGCCTCCACCCCTGGCCAGGTGACCAAGGACCACTGGGAGGTTACCCACCCCCACCCCTGACTTCCAGGAAGAACGTGATGGCAAAGAGCAGGTGGGGACTACTGGTCACCATCCATCAACCAAAGAAGGAGCAGATTCTGGGAATATGACTCCAAGAGCCAGCCGCCCCGCAACAGAATAAATGGGGAAAGAAGATTCTCATACCCTCTGATGTTTCTCCGATGAAAATCAGAGTGTCCTATTCCAAAGTAATAATAATGAAGACAATTTTATTATTTATACATCACCCATCTGACTGGGTTGACCCAGCCACTCTGGGCAGCTTCCAACATATATCAAAACATACTAAAACATTAAACATTTTTTTAATAAAATCTCTACAGGGCTGATTTCAGGTGTTTGTTAGAGTTTGTTGTTTTTGTTGTTATTGGGGATCACTTTCCTTGTGATGTGAGGACGTATGATGTTTTTGTAATACAGTGGTACCTCGGGTTACAGATGCTTCAGGTTACAGACGCTTCAGGTTACAGACTCTGCTAACTCAGAAATAGTACCTCGGGTTAAGAACTTTGCTTCAGGATGAGAACAGAAATCACACGGCGGCAGCGGGAGGCCCCATTAGCTAAAGTGGCACCTCAGGTTAAGAACAGTTTCAGGTTAAGAACAGACCTCCAGAACAAATTAAGTTCTTAACCCGAGGTACCACTATGTCCCTTTGTGGCCAGATTTGAGGCAGTAGATCAAGTAGAAGCCCAGGGGTGGATCTAGGGTAGTGTGACCAATTCAGTCACACTGGGTGCAAAGTTTCTTGGACTTCCCAGCAAATGCCACAACTAGGACATACAATGGAAGGCAAGAGACAGGATTTTGGCACTTCACAGGGTGCCACTGAAATTTGAGATGCCAAGGTCTGCCACTGGTGATAGCTCTAAACCCCAAACAGCACCAATCACACACCCCTAAGGACCTGTGCACCCTCTGTATGTATTTGATTATATAAATGCAAAATTATACTCCATATATTCCCAAAGTTTTCACAAAACCTAGAAACAGAACCAAGAGAAATGATTAAAGTAGCATGGAAAACTTGCCTACTTAGTTTTCCTCCTTTCTAGCCCACTATAAGAGATCGTTCTAGATAAATGAAAAACAATATTGTATATTTGGGTAGGCTGATCTGCTTCTGCGATAATCAATGAAGCATTCCCGGTTTTAATTAAATTTGTCGCTTCTCTGCTTACTTTCTCATTCTGATGTATGCTAGTTTTGCCATAAGAGCTTATTCCCATAATTTGCCCACCATCAATACGGAAAGAATTGTACGCAGCCTCCAACTCATTGCATAAAATATTCTGGCTGCTGTGGTCATATATGCGCCTAGCGCTTGATGCGTTTCCTTAACAAAGGCAACCTCCTCAGGCCACACACACATGCTCCCAAGCCATGCCCACTGCCAGCCCTGCTTGGCAGCCTCCTCGAATATTTTTGCCTGGTCGGAAGGTGTACTTGAACTGTCATCATGCTTCTTGGGTAACAGGGCAGGATGGAATATATAAATTTAAAAATAAAAAAAATTGTCCAGTAGCACCTTAGAGACCAACTAAGTTTGTTCTTGGTATAAGCTTTTGTGTGCATGCACACTTCTTCAGAAAGCACACGAAAGCTTATACCAAGAACAAACTTAGTTGGTCTCTAAGGTGCTACTGCCCCTCACCCCAGAAGGTTGTCTGGAAAGGAATGCGGTCCTTGGCCTCTTTGTTGTTTAGTCATTTAGTCGTGCCCTACTCTTCGTAACCCCATGGACCAAAGCACGCCAGGCACTCCTGTCTTCCACTGCCTCCTGCAGTTTGGTCAAACTCATGCTGGTAGCTTCGAGAACACTGTCCAACCATCTTGTCCTCCATCATCCCCTTCTCCCTGTGCCCTCAAACTTTCCAAACATCAGGGTCTTTTCCAGGCAGTCTTCTCTTCAAATGAGGTGGCCAAAGTATTGGAGCCTCAGTTTCAGGGTCTGTCCTTCCAGTGAGCACTCTGGGTTGATTTCCTTCAGAATGGATAGGTTTGATCTTCTTGCAGTCCATGGGACTCTCAAGAGTCTCCTCCAGCACCATAATTCAAAAGCATCAATTCTTCGGCGATCAGCCTTCTTTATGGTCCAGCTCTCACTTCCATACATCACTACTGGGAAAACCATAGCTTTAATTATACGGACCTTTGTTGGCAAGGTGATGTCTCTGCTTTTTAAGATGCTGTCTAGGTTTGTCATTGCTTTTCTCCCAAGAAGCAGGCGTCTTTTAATTTCATGACTGCTGTCACCATCTGCAGTGATCATGGAGCCCAAGAAAGTAAAATCTCTCGCTGCCTCCATTTCTTCCCCTTCTATTTGCCAGGAGGTGATGGGACCAGTGGCCATGATCTTCATTTTTTTGATGTTGAGCTTCAGACCATATTTTGCACTCTCCTCTTTCACCCTCATTAAAAGGTTCATTCTCTCTCTCTCTCTCTCACACACACACACACACACACAGGCAGACTACAAAAATGGGGTTTGGATACCCAGTTGTTAAGTTGTAGAATGAGCCAATCACAAAACTCAGCATCTCAAGTTCCTCTGTTTTACAGGATGTAGTGCTGTGCTTAAGGCTGCAATCCTAAAAACACACTAAGGAAGGATCTCCTTCAAACACAGTGGGACTTTCTGCGGGTCAACCTGGACAGAGTTTCAGTACTGTATGTGCTGTGAGCTGGGAAGTTCTCTGCTGAAATCTGAGCTCAGCTACAAATCTCGCCAGGTGGTCTAAGCACCTTCATTTTCTCCTTCCCTGCCACACCTATAGTACTGTAGTGTTTTACAGGGTTGTTGTAAGTGCGGATTGATTTTTGAGGGTGCATTGTCTCAGCAATCCTTAACATTAAAAGTTAAGCACTGTTGTTTACTTTTCTACCAGCGGAAGTAACAAAGGGCCTCTCTGCTAGGGCAATGTGTTGAAATTAATACTTCTTACTGGTGTTAAAGTTGATAATCCTAAATCAGGAGTGCTGACAGGTTTGGTCTCAAGCTCATTGCACTCATGGCTTGCTGCCAAGAGGCTGGCAGCCTTCCTGGCAATTGCTGCAGAGGGAATGCCGGAAAGGCGAGTGTGGCTTGCTAAGCCAGCCATCCTCCCAAATGAGCACTCCTGTGAATTTGGCAATGCAGTTCTCTGGCCAAATCATGTGTCCAGAGATGCATGTACAAGGGCAAAGTGTGATGATATAAACAACATACAGAAAGGGTTGCTACAGGAAATTGTTTTGTAGAAAGATGTATATCAGAAAATCAATTGCATAGCAAAGTGTGTACATTGGCTCCCAGTACGTTTCCGAGCACAATTCAAAGTGTTGGTGCTGACCTTTAAAGCCCTAAACGGCCTCGGTCCTGTATACCTGAAGGAGTGTCTCCATCCCCATCGTTCAACCCGAGCACTGAGGTCCAGCACCAAGGGCCTTCTGGCGGTTCCCTCACTGTGAGGAGCGAGGTTACAGGGAACCAGGCAGAGGGTCTTTTTGGTAGTGGCGCCCACTCTGTAGATCGCCCTCCCATCAGATGTCAAGGAAATAAACAACTATCTGACTTTTAGAAGACATCTTAAGGAAGTCCTGTTTAGGGAAGTTTTTAATGTCAATTGTTTTATAGTGCCTTTAATATTCTGCTGGGAGCCACCCAGAGTGGCTGGGGAAACCCAGTCAGATAGGCAGGGTATAAATGTTGTTTAGTTTTTAGTCGTGTCTGACTCTTTGTGACCCCATGGAGCAGAGCACACCAGGCACTCCTGTCTTCCACTGCCTCCCACAGTTTGGTCAAACTCATGCTGGTAGCTTCGAGAACAAATAATTCCAGAATTATTATTATTATTATTATTATTATTACTATTATTACTATTGGAAATTCAAAGTAAAATATTGATGGACATTCTGAAGGACTATTTTCTTGAAGAAATGCAAAGTGAGCTAAACAAGACTGGAAAAAATGAGAAACAGAATAAACAAAATTTCCAAAGGACCTATGGCGACCATAAGTAGACTCAAGAAGGGTTCAGAGGAGCAGCATAAGGTTCAGTAGCAGTGTACAAATGCAGCCAGAAGAAGAAGAAGAAGAAGAGTTTGGATTTGATATCCCGCCTTTCACTCCCTTTAAGTAGTCTCAAAGCGGCTAACATTCTCCTTTCCCTTCCTCCCCCACAACAAACACTCTGTGAGGTGAGTGGGGCTGAGAGACTTCAGAGAAGTATGACTGGCCCAAGGTCACCCAGCAGCTGCATGTGGAGGAGTGGAGACGCGAACCCGGTTCCCCAGATTACGAGACTACCGCTCTTAACCACTACACCACACTGGCTCTAGAACGTTAAACACACACACACACACTTAAATTGCAACATATTATAAGAATCCTGGGAAGCGAAGTGGGGACAGAGCTTCCTTAAAAAAAAAAAAGTGGGGGAGATGGCAGTACAGTGGTACCTTGGTTCTCAAACTTAATCAGTTCCAGAAGTCCGTTCCAAAACCAAAGCGTTCCAAAACCAAGGCGTGCTTTCCCATAGAAAGTAATGCGAAATGGATTAATTTCTTCAAGACTTTTAAAAACAATCCCTAAAACAGCATGAATTTTATGAATTAACATGAAATAATTCATGAATTAACATGAATTTTACTAACGAGACCATTGATCCATAACATGAAAGCAATAATCAATGTACTGTACTATAAAATAAATTAGACAGTATTGTAGATGATTTTAAAAAAAAAATTTAAAAATTCTTACCTGCACTGATGATAGTCATTGTTTGGATAGGGGGCTTTTATCCATTTCCACAGTCACACAATCAATCAATCAATCAATCAATCAATAGCGTCAAAAACAAAAACGCAAAATAAATAGCAAAAACAAAAGCGCCAAACTTAATCTGTTCCAGAAGTCCATTTGACTTCTGAAATGTTTGAAAACCAAGGCACAGCTTTCTGATTGGTGCAGGCACCCCAGAAACAATAGCCAACAACTGCATCAGATGTTCAGCTTCCGAAAAATGTTTGAAAACTGGAACACTTACTTCCGGGTTTTCAGCATTTGGGAACCAAGGCGTTTGAGTACCAAGGCGTTTGAGAACCAAGGTACCACTGTACTCAGGCTAGGATAGGAAGTGTGCTGTGTGGCTTGGCAGGGAGCCCTGCCCTCTAATTTATTTGTTTGTGGGGGTAGGCTACAGTTGCTTGAAAGATAGATGATAGATAGATGGTAGATAGATGGTAGACAGACAGACAGACAGACAGATAAACATTTGACCCCGCCCCTTGTAATTACCACACAACCTGCTTCTTATACAGTGGTACCTTGATCTATGAACTTAATCCGTTCCAGAAGTCCGTTCTTAAACCAAAGCCATTCTTAAACCGAGGTGCGCTTTCCTTAATGAGGCCTCCTGCCACCAGTGCCCTTCCACCATTCGGCTTCTGTTTGTAAACCAAGGTAAAGTTCGCAAACCGGGACACCTACTTCTGGTTTTGCGGAGTTCATATACAGTGGTACCTCGCAAGACGAATGCCTCGCAAGACGAAAAACGCTTTTCGTTTTTTGAGTTGCTTCGCAAGATGAATTTCCCTATGGGCTTGCTTTGCAAGACGAAAAATGAAAACGTCTTGCAAGTTTGTTTCCTTTTTCTTAAAACCGTTAATACCCTATGGGAAACCGTGCTTCGCAAGACGAAAAATTCGCAAGACGAAAAAACTCGCGGAACGAATTAATTTCGTCTTGCAAGGCACCACTGTACCAAATAATTCGTTAACGGGGTTGTTCTTCAACTGAAGTACCACTATATGGGCTAGCTTTTTAACTGTGAAGCTGCAAAGGGGTGGCCTGTTGTTATACGAAGACTGAATGAGGAGCATTTTAGTTTACAACTGTGTTTGGCCGGTGGGTTTGCAAAGCTGCTGCGTGGTTTTCAGGCTGATCATATGATATCAATTAACAACACGTATTCTGAGCCAAAGCTCTTTAACCTCATTACATGTATCATCCAGTGCGGAATTTCTCCACAGAGTCTTGTAATGCCAGCTCCTGGTAGTACGGAGGCTAAAAACAATGGAAGATTAGCAAAGATCCCTGCTCAGTTACCAGTAGCTGCAAAGAGCTTGACTACTTATTCCCCTTTTTACTCTGCATTTCAAGTATTAATCCCCTCATAGTTGTTTATACTTTTTTTACTGTTAATGAACTGGAGGCAAAGCATTTTACCTACCAAGAAGTTAGTAATAATTAAGGTTGCTGGGGCCATTATATTTTAAGCCTGCCATTATAAATATGCATAAACCATGCACTTCTGAAAACCCAACCATTCAGATATGTGGTGGCATCAAGTTCACAGTCTTCCTGCCTAGCTTGGCCTTAAGGAATGACAGTGTCATTTCTATACATATAACATCCACTAATACATAGCTGTCAAGCGTCCCTTATTTGGCGGGAAAGTCCCTTATCCCAGCGCCGTGTCCCGCTGTTGTCCCTTATTGATGATGTCCCTTAAATTTCCTGGGTTTCAAAGGAAGCAGCTCCTCTCCCTCCCTCCCTGCTGGCCAGGAAGGAGGGAGGCTCCAACTGGGTCGCTTGGCTGCGTTGCTCACCCAATAAGGAGTCTAAGAACAACTGGGGGGTGGAGCTTGCATGCCTTG